CTTCAAAGGAGCCCCTTGCCTGCCCCCCGACGGTCCCTGCACCAGTGCCCAGGCCCTGCCTTGGTTGTCCAGCACTGGCTGGCAACATGGGGGAGGGCCCGCTGGGTCCCTGGCCAGAGCTGGCCCCAGGGCCCTGGCCTGGCCCCTCCCCTCCACTCCTCTCCCTTCCTCTCTCCCCACTGGCCCTGCTCAGATTATTCTCTGGCGTTTGCTAGTATGGTTTTCCCACTGAGTGCCTCTCAGTTCTGTTGGTCCAGACTCTCTTGTCCTTCAGGGCCCAGGTCAAATTTTGTTTCTTCCAAAATGCTGTCTCTGGCTCACTGTGAAACAGGAAGGGGACCTCAGGCTCTATGGGAGAGCATTATCCTAAAAGGGATATTTATCCTAAAGAAGAGAAGGCTCAGAGGGGGCGCCAGGGAGCCAGTGTGGGACACCTATGGATCCATGCAAGGAGAGCTTTCCCAACAGTTATGGGTGTTCAGAGACAGCAGATAGCCTTGGGATGTGGCGAGCTTCTTGTCCCCGGGGGCATTCTAGGCAAGGCTGGGTGAGAACTTGGCAGGGATAGATGGATTTCCTCTGGAGACACTAAGAATTTTGTAAGGAAATTATATTCAAATATTTTCTTGCCTTAAAGCTTTGATCCTCCCACAGCCCAGTGGCTCCCAGGGGCCCAGGTACTGGCTTCTCCTCTCTTTAACCCCTGCCTCCGCCTGGGCACACAGTGGGTCAGCACGTGGGGGATGGCAGTGCCAGCTTGGCCTTGCTGCCCTTGTGGGGCCTGCTTATTTCTGCCCTGGCCTAAAGTATCCATAGGGCCGCTGCCAGGCACTGGATTAGGCAGGAGCTGAAGACTGACAGATTCCTTCCTGAAAGAGAGGACACTGAGAGGGGAGCAGCTGAGCAGCTTCTCCTGTGGCCTTGAGCTGCTCCTCCCTCGGGGCTGCCACATAAACACCTCCAAAGTTGGCAGCCGTGTATCCCAGGCATGGGTTACATAACTTGTTGCTTCAAAGGGGCCACCGTGCTGCTTGGAGTTACCGGCTGCCCTTTGCCCTTTCCCTACCTTATAAGTCTGGGCTGGCGTCGGTCCCCGGGTACTCTCCCTGTGGGTTTGGGGGCCTGGACCCTTTCCTGGCTTTCCACCGGATGTTGGCCCAGTCAGCTCTGACCTTCACTGGCCCTTCTGCAAAGGGAGGTCTGAGCAGCTACTCCATCTCGAGTGTCATCTATTTCAGGGCCCTGCACAGCTGGGCACACTGAGGGATGGTTATTTTGGAGCTCGCTGGCGGCCTGCAGCTGCTCCTGACCCCGAGGGGCTGCCTAGCTGGGGCAGAAGACAGACTTGGGCTGGGCACTGGCCCCAGGGATGCCATTTTTAGCTGTTTCCCAGGCTCTCCTGTACCTTTTCTCCTAACTCCTCCAAGATCTCAAGCAAGGCCAAAGGGATCACTTTCCTGCCCCTTCTCCCTTGCTTACCACCCCCTACTGTTTCTCCTCCCTTCTCTTCTTTCTCCTCTCATCTCCACTATATAGCTTCTTCTTCCTGGTCCTTAGTGATATATTCATGACTGATGTAAAGTCCTGCTGCTGTAGGTTGAGAAAGTTCATTGCCTGGTGTAGAGGGACCGAACTTTGGTTGACAGACAACCTGAGTAAGCGCTAGTACCTGAAGTTATCCAGGGGTCCCAGAAGCTCCCCACTCTGCCTCCAATCCCCACAACATCATCACAACACAGGTATTATTACCCTCATTCTCTAGCTGAGTGGCCTGAGGCTGGGAGGTAAGTTTAGCTACCGGCCACCATTCAGGTGCTGGATTGGACATTTAAACTCAGGCCTGTTAACACCCCAGTGCCCATGCACTTCTGAGCCATGGGGCATGTAAACAATAACAGTGGCTCCTTTAACCTAGTGATTATTATGTGCTACTTTTCTAGATGCCCTGTGTAGCTTACTGCATTTTAACTTCACAACATCCCTTCTGAGGGAAGAATTAGAATACAGATTTTTTAAAAAAAGATTTTATTATTCATGAGAGACACAGAGAGGGAGGCAAAGACACAGGCAGAGGGAGAAGCAGGCTCCCTGCAGGGACCCCGACGTGGGACTCAATTCCGGGTCTCCAGGATCAGGCCTGGGCTCAAGGCGGCGCTAAACTGCTGAGCCACCCGGGCTGCACTAAATAAATAAAATCTTTAAAAAAAACTCTAGAAGTATAGTGTAAATATCAAGGAGGTAATGACCCCACTGTGCCTTGAGCTGGGCAGGAAGCATCTGGAGTACTGAGTTGGTTCTGTTCATTGTCTAAGAGGTGGGAAGGTGTGTGGTGGGTCTGAGTGTATCCTGAGGGGAGCTGCTTTCTCTATGGGGCCAGCATTGGCACAGAAGGACATTGAAGCTGAGAGAAGTAAAGCAAATCTACCCAAGATATCCTCGGATACAAGGAGGTAGATTTTAGTTTAAGAGAAGGAAACACTTTCTTAGAGTGGCTCAACAGTGGCATGGGCTGCCTGGGAGGCCCAGAAGCGGGCATATTCAGGAACAGAAGGACTCCTGAAGGGGCAGAGTTCAGGGGAGCGCATGTCCAGCCGCATTCAGAAATCTGTGCTGCCAGTCTGCCCCGCTTCATGGGCTCTGGGGCTGATTGTCCTGAGTGTGTGTGGGGTGAGGTAGGGAGAGGAGTGTGGGAGTGCATGTGTGCACGAGCCCTGTGACAGTCTTCTTTCTGTAAGCTCTGGCTGGGTATCTCTGAGCCTTTTGTTTTCTAGTCACCCTGCTGTCCCTTGTCCCTTCCTCTCTGTCTCCAACCCTGGAGTCCTCTCTGGCCAGTGCCTGCTAGCCCCAAGGGAGGAGGAGCAGGGGCTGTTCCTGGGGGCCCAGGTCAGCCCACGGCCTGTCCCAGGTCCCCACGACTGTCTCTCAGGCCTCCCCCTCCTGTTTGGACCTCTTTGCCTCTGCCTCTCTGCAGCCCCCAGCCTCTCTGCACCATCGCTGTCACAGAGTCAATTCCCTGGAATAATCGCATTTTCCAGTTGGCTCCCTCCTTCTTGCCAAGCACGATGCTGGGAAATCCCAACCAGCTAGGCCCCAAGAGGCTTCCTCAGAGAGGCAGGGGGCTTGGGGGAAGGGCCCAGCATGCTCTCCCTTACCGGGCCCAAACAACACTTTTCCAGGAAGGGGCAGGGGGAGAACAAAAACAAGGAGGCTTTAGAGATTGTCTCTAAATTCAGATGGAGCTGATTCTGCTTCAGCTGCCCCTACCAGTCCAGTCTTCCAAGCTTCGCTTCCACACTGAGCACCCCAGCCATCCTTACCCAGGTCCTGGAGAGAAGGCACAGATTCTCCCTTGGGGAGGCTCAGGGAAAAGGCTCCCGGGGAGGGATTGGCCCATGATGCGGTCTACAGTGAGTGGGACTAACTAGCCAAATTTGGGGATTCTGACCCCCACAGATGGGGATCAAAAAATAAGGAGGGCTTTGAGAGCCAAGAATGCGGTGTCGGGAGTTGGACAGACCTAGCTTCAGTCTCGGATCTGCCGCTTGGTGGCTGTCACACATCACATCTCTGAGCTTTATCGCCATAATGGGAACACTTCCATGGGATGTTTTAAGGATGAAATGCAGGGGTAATTCATTATGCATGATGACGTTTATTATAAATGCTAGGCCTCCATAAAGTAGGACATAACACAGCCATTAAAAAGATGTGCTGGAAACACGGTTATTGACATGGAAAGGTGTTCAGGACGTAGTAAGTAGAAAAGCTAGTTTTGAAAAGGAAAGTTGTATAGCAGGGTTCTTAGCCTGGAGTCCATCCCCACGGAAGGCTTTATGTGATTCACAGATGCCCTGAAGTTATCCACAGAATTTAGGAAGAATGTGTGTTTTTCAGAGGACACAGGTCAAAGTCACTACATTCTCAAAGGGATTTGTTACCCATAAGAGGTTAAAAACTACTGGAGTTTATATAGCATGATTCAGTTTTTGTATTAGAAAAAGTAAGTGCAGGGACACCTGGGTGGCTCAGTGGTTGAGTGTCTGCCTTGGACTCAGGTCATGATCCCAGGGTCCTGGGATCCAGTTCCACTCCCCCTGCAGGGAGCCTACCTCTCCCTCTGCCTATGTCTCTGCCTCTCTCTATGTGTCTCTCACGACTAAATACATCTAAAAACTCCATTTAAATTTTAAAAAATCTTAAAAAGTAACTGAAGAATATATCGGGGGAAAAGGAAGAAAAAAGCTGGAAGGTATACCCAAGTATTAAGAGTATTTTTCTCCGGATTGGTGGGCTGAGAGGTGATTATGTTTTCTTCTTTTTTTGGCTGGACTGTCTTTCCTACAAAACCCAGTGTGTCTCGTACGATTAAAAAGGGAGAGGGGTTGATTTCCAGTGAAGTCACCTTCAAAAGGAAATGCTGGATAAATTCGTAAGTTTGAGTTCTCGCAGCCTCAGTGCCCTGCGGCAATGGTAACTGGAGAAGAGGTACTTGTTGGGAGGAGACCGATTCCTGCAAAGAGCTGTCCTGGGGAAGAGGGTTTCCCTCCGACCTCGGTGGGCGGGGTGGGGGGAGCTGATGTCCGCAGTGCGTTCAGCAAGTCGTTCACTGCTTGTCCTCTCAAGTGCTCAGCGCTGTTGTAGCTGTTGGGGACCGAAAGGGAGGGCCCAGGAGTTAAATCGATAACTAAAAACAATAATAAAAAAAGGAATAAGATAAAACTTGGGAGCGTGCCCTTTACACGGGAGGCCTTTTCATTCTGGTGCCCCTCCTTGCGGCCTTGATGCTCAGCTTTAGTTAACTAGTTGGAGGTCCTGCGTCGCTGCTCCCCGCGGCCTCCCGGGCCTCCCGGGCCTCCCGGGCCCGTTCCCCGCGGCTACCGGCGCGGCCAGCGCGGGGCGGGGCGGGGCGCGGCGGGGCGCGGCGGGGCGCGGCGCTCGCCCGGCCGGGCCCCGCGTGACCGCGCCCCGTGTCTGTCTCCCGTCTCCCGCGCCCCGCGCAGACAGCGAGCTGGCGCTCCCGGACTGCCTGCGGCCGCGCTCCTTCACCGCCCTGCGGCGGCCGTCCCTGCGGCGCGACGCCGACGAGCCGCGCCTCTCCGTGAGCCTGTGCGACCTCAACGTGCCGGGCGCCGACGGCGACGACGCCGCGCCGGCCGCGGGCTGCCCCATCCCGCAGAACTCGCTCAACTCGCAGCACAGCCGCGCGCTGCCCGCGCAGCTCGACGGCGACCTGCGCTTCCACGCGCTGCGCGCCGGGGCGCACGTCCGCATCCTCGACGAGCAGACGGTGGCGCGCCTGGAGCACGGGCGCGACGAGCGCGCGCTCGTCTTCACCAGCCGGGCCGTGCGCGTGGCCGAGACCATCTTCGTCAAGGTCACGCGCTCGGGCGCCGCGCGGCCCGGCGCGCTCTCGTTCGGCGTCACCACGTGCGACCCCGGCACGCTGCGGCCCGCCGACCTGCCCTTCAGCCCCGAGGCCCTGGTGGACCGCAAGGAGTTCTGGGCCGTGTGCCGCGTGCCCGGGCCGCTGCACAGCGGCGACATCCTGGGCTTGGTGGTCAACGCCGACGGCGAGCTGCACCTGAGCCACAACGGCGCCGCGGCGGGCATGCAGCTGTGCGTGGACGCCTCGCAGCCGCTCTGGATGCTCTTCGGCCTGCACGGCGCCTTCACGCAGATCCGCATCCTCGGTGAGTGTCCCCCCCCCCCGCCCCGCCCCGCCCCGCCCCGCCCCGGGGGGAACCCGGGAGGAACCCGGGAGGGGAAGGCCGCCCGCTGCCCCGCCAGGCCTTGGGGGCGGGGGGGGGGGGGGCGAAGAGTGTGGGCCACTGAGTCTCACTCTCGGAACCCGATTAAGCCGTGTCCCCGACACATGCACGATGCTTAAAAACAAGGTTTCCTCCAGCAATTAACTTTGTGAGGCGCAGTTTCCATTCCTGCACGATGGAAATTGGAGCCTGTGCGTCCTGAGGATGGCCGTGTGTCCAGATGAGAGACGTTCGGTTCCGGACGTCCGCAGTCCGCAGCCAGCTGTTTGCGCGGCGCCGGCGCCGTGCCTGGGTCTCGAGCCTCCGGGGAGCAGGGGGCCTTGGGGGAAACGGGGCTGCCGGGCTCTGGGCCTTTGTTTCCTGGGATTGAATGGACTGGTGGATGTGGACTTGCGGATGGATATTTCTCAGAGCGCCCTACGGCATAAGGTGTCTTTGAGGAAAAGGTCCTTGGTTGAAAAATTTGGGAAGTACTGAGTTGACAAAGTGTGTGTGTGTGTGTGGGGGGGGGTGCTTCACTGCAGGACTTCTCAGAGCTTTTAATACATAACGTGAATCTTGAAGGACGTTGTGGTTATGATGTACAGCTTTTTCTAAACGAATGTGGCCAGAAATCTTCTTTTCACAAAGCATCTCCAGGGGCCTCTGTTTCCCCAGGGTGCACAAGTATGCATACTTTGCCAGAGCTGGTCTTTTCCAACCGCTGCGCTAGACTGGGCTAGCTCCATTAGATTCACAACGAGGCCTACTAAAGTGCAGAGTTTTGAATCCCACCTGCAGAGATTTTGATTCTGTAGATGTTGGATAAATCCAGATAAGATCTGAATTCTTTTTTTTTTTTTTTTTTGGTAAGATTTTATTTTATTTCAAGAGAGAATGAGAGAGCAGGGAGGGGCAGAGGGAGAGGGAGAGAGAGAGAATCCCAAGGAGGCTCTCCATGCTCAGCGTGGAGCCACACACGGGGCTTGATTTGACAACCCTGAGATTACGACCTGAGCTGAAATCAAGAGTTGGACACTTAACCGACTGAACCTCCCAGGCCCCCTCTGAATTAAAAAAATATATATAAATATTTTATTGATTGATTCATGAGAGGCAGAGAGAGAGGCAGAGACATGGGCAAGGGAGAAGCGAAGCAGGACTTGATCCCAGGACCCCAGAATCACACCCTGAGCCAAAGGCAGACGCTAAACCACTGAGCCACCCAGGTGCCTGAATTCTTTTTTTAAGCAGGTTTGCTCAGGCAAGTTTGGAGATCTCTGGGGTTCATAGCCCCATCCTAGACCTCACCCCAGGAGGCTTTGTAGACAATGTATGTGAGTGAACGTGTGTTATGCTCTAAGGTTGGTATGTCTGTGTGTAGGCACACGTGATGAGTAACTGAAAGCATGCATATTGCTGTTGGTGATTGTGAGCGTGTTAGAGTTTGTGAAATTAGATAAAATATGTGGGGACTTCTTACTCTGCAAAGAGACCAAATGAAGATGCAGTGAAAAATAAATTTGTAAAGGAATGAAAAGAAATGAGGCAAGGTGCTAAGAAGTTATGATTGAGGAAAACGGGTCAGTAAGAAATTAAAAGAAATCAGGAAGGAAAGAAGTTGGGGTGAAAATTCAGGATGGAATAAAAAGAAATCAGACTGGGGTGCGGAAAAAAATCAGGCTGAGGTAAAAAGATACTTGGCTACACTCACTGGGAGACACTGCTCCTCAGACAAAGGAAATTACATAAGGGGAGGGTACTCTCCCGCCTCAACACCATCTAATAATAGATAAGTAGCTTTCCAATGAGACTTCTGTTCCCCAAAGAGGCTTACTAGACACAGGAGAAGCTTAAAAAAAAAAAAAAATCAGGGCTTAAATGTCCTGAGGGGTAAGTGGGCCAAGGTGGGTGTTTTAAGAATAATCATCTAGATATATGCTAAACAATGTATGCTAACCAGAGTGCAGTTGGGCTGTAGAAGAGCTGGGCATCTCAGTCAGCAAATTGGTGTTTGGCGATCCTGATGGACTGCAAAGGAAAAACAAGCCAGGGACAGTGTGTGAAGGGTTATTATTTACCTTACAGAGGAGTGGTTGGCTTCATGAAAGGCCTAAGTAAACTAAGAATGGAAGGATATTTCCTATCCTCCAAAACTACTGCCAGTTTCGTACTTAGTGATGAAATGTGAGAAACGTTCTCATTAAAGTCAGGAATATGATAGGGATGCCTTAAAGTATTGTTCTGAAAATGCTAGCCAGTGCAATAGGGTAAGAAAAGGAAATACAAGGTGTGAATTTCTGAAAGAAGATGATAAAATTAACTTGAAAACTATTAACACTAAGAGAAAGCCCATGGATATCTAATGAATACTTAGAAACAGTGAGTATTAAATGAATTAGAACACCTAATGATGAAAAGGATCTCACAGAGCATTTATGTGTAGGGCAATATGTTAGAGCCTGTGGGAAAGTCACAGATGAATACAATTTCCTGCTTTCAGGAGGCTCATAGTTCACCTGGAAACAAGTGAACTGGAAACAAGTGTTTACCTGGGCAAAGAACAAATAATACCCCAGCTCTGTGGTGGTTTAGTCCCATGTATGTGGTGTGTGTGGCTGGTCAGTGCTAAGTAAGTAATGTGGTTTGTCGGGGTGGTCAAAGCTCCCCAGAGGAGGAGGTTTGAGGACAGCCCCAAGGGGCTCCCTGGACAGTTAGGTCTTTGAGGGCAAGGGCTCTGTCAGTATCATTCTCAGTGTTATGTTTACACAGTGGATGGTACCTAGTAGGTACCTGGTACCTTGTTGAAGGGAGGAGCAAGCCGGGAGGAAGGAAGAAAGGAAGGTGAGGAGAGGAGAGGAGTGGAAGGAGAGAAAGAAGGGAAGGAAGAAGGGAGAGAATGTAGCACAGAATGAGCTTGGGAGATGCTGAAGGGCATCTGAGAGGTGCCAGTGCACAGGAGAAGGTGGGGGGCTATGTGGGGTGGCGATGGAGCCAGCACAGGGTTTGGAATAGGAGGGTCAGGCTGGGACTGGAAGGGCCCTGTTGGGCAGGAGGAGGGGACTTTGTTGTCTAGCACGGGAAACCTTGAAGGTGAGGATGCATGGGGAGGGTGGTGGTGGGATTCTAGGCGGGGGGCGGGGGGCGCTTGTCCGGAGCCTGCTGATGGAGTAACGACAGAGCATGAAGTGGCCCTCCAATTTGCAGGTGGGAACAGAGCTGGGGCCAGGCGCTGGGCCACTTTATGGAATCCTGCCCTGAACCCATCCAGTGGCTGGGCTGTGTGGTCGTTGCTGTGTCAGCACTTTCTCTCCTGGGAACCTCCAGGAGGGGTGGAGACCTGAGCTTTCTCCCAGTAGGCCTCTTAGTGGTTCATGCGTCCCCCCACCCTTGCCTTCTGCAGGCTCCACCATCCTGGCAGAGCGGAGCATCCCCTCACTGTCCTGCTCCCCTGCCTCCACACCAACCTCGCCCAGCGCCCTGGGCAGCCGCCTCTCCGACGACCCCTTGCTCAGCACGTGCAGCTCCGGACCCCTGGGAAGCTCTGCTGGCGGTAAGTAGGCCGACCGCTCGGAGACCCCCTGGCTGAGGCCGGCGTGTGGCCTCTGGGTCAGAGGCGGGCCCTGGAGGAGCTGGAGATAGGCTCAGTGAACCCTTGTTGGGTGGTAATTTCTGGGGTGAATCCCACCCTGCCCCGCAGCTGGGCAACTTTCTCCCGAGCACTTTTTAGCAGACAGGGAAACCCAGAGGATAGCTCGGGAGGGGCCTTCCTTACAAGAGCGTGGGCTGCCTCCCTTCCTCCACCGCGCTTCTCCTCTCGCTGCCGCCCGGGCCCTCATCGGGTGCCTCCTAGTGCCCAGGAAGTGGGTTGTCAAGGTAAACAAGCAGATCCCAATAAATGGAGTGAGTCACCAGGGGCTCTCTTCTCATGAACCTGGGGCCAGACCGGGCCATGTCCTCACTGACTGGTGTCCACTTGTCCCCAGGGACGGCCCCCAACTCACCAGTGAGCCTGCCTGAGTCGCCAGTGACCCCAGGCACAGGACAGTGGAGTGATGAGTGCACCATTTGCTATGAGCACGCAGTGGACACGGTCATCTACACATGTGGCCACATGTGCCTCTGCTATGCCTGTGGCCTGCGCCTCAAGAAGGCTTTGCACGCCTGCTGCCCCATCTGCCGCCGCCCCATCAAGGACATTATCAAGACCTACCGCAGCTCCTAGCCCGTTGTGGCTGCCCCGCCACCCCTGCACGCCTGCCTCCTCATGGCCCCACTCCAGCCGAGGGGCAAGCCAACAGGGCTCCTTCTCTTCTTCCTCATCTTGGAAACTCTTTTCTCTTCTTCATTAAACATGGGAAACTGAGGCCCTCAAAGGTTTGGGAAGAAAGGGGATATAGGGCAGGGAGGTGAGGGGCAGATACGAATTGCCCAGCAGAGAGGAGGGGGGGAGTTAGCTCTCTCCGTCTTTCCTGTCTCTGCACCCAGCTCCACCCTGCATGCTGAGGGGCTAAACGGGGGTCTCACCCTGTCCTAATCCTTCCCCATCTGGGGCAGTCTGCAAGGAAGTCCTCCAGTCCATGTGAGAATTAGAAAACACGTTTCTTCCTCTGGGCAGATGAAGCCCAGAGGAAGGGCATTTAGGAGTATGGCCTGGACTTCAGCCTCTATTTGTTCTCTTAGCTAGCTGCCCTTGAACAGTGTACAACCTGCTCAACAGCCCTAGGCAGGCAGCCTCTCAGCTGCTACCTTACTCTCTGACCTGTATCTACCTTCTCCTTCCTCTCTTCCCTGTCCCTTAGGCCTGGCAACCAGGGGGGAAGGCCAGTGGATGCCTCTCGCCCTGGGCAGGCTGCAGCCCCCATGCCATGTCCCTCTCCTCACCCAGGACGGGTGGATGGACAGGCCACAGAAGGCTCCAGGTTCTGGGTCTCTGACCCTGTGCCCTGGCGGAGATGCAGAGGGCCCCTTCCTGGCCACAGCCTTTTTGTCCCAGTCATCTTGTGAGATGCTGCTGCCCAGGGACAGCCTCGGTGTGGGCAGTGTCTGTCTTGTGGCAGGGTCTCCAAGAGCAGGTTTGCATCTGTGCTCTGTGACCTGTCCTCTGGGATCTCAGTGCTGTCCTGGGCCTGGCTGATACTCAGACTGTAGTATTCCTAGGTGCGGCCAGGGTGCTGGAGTGGGGGTGGGGTGGGGTGCCCTGGGGTAAAACCAGCCTTTTTTCCTTACTTTAATTTATTTATTTATTTAGTTTGTGGGTTGGTCTTTGGGGGAGGGGATTGAGTTGCCATCCCCCGGACCCCTAGAAATGGTGCCCTGGTGTGCGGAGTACCTGGCGAAAGAAGGCTGCAGAGGTAGTTATCACTCAGAATCTTCCCCAGGCTCCAGCACAAAGTCCATAGCCATCTCTATTTACCGTGAATTAGAGCTCCATAAAAGGGGCTGAATTTGGAGGCGGCCTGTCAAATTGTGTCCATTTTACAGAGACAGACTGAGCCTCCTTAGCCCTGGGGCTGGTGGATCACCCAGAGCCACAAAGTGCCCTTCCTCTCTGGGCTGCATCAGGGTTAGCAAAGTTGGCTCAGACGTGTCAGGAGGCCCAAGAGCTTCCCCTTCCATGAGGACATGAAAAGTTCTGGAAGGCTGAAGGAGGGGAGTCGAGCTTGGGCCAGGGAACACGGCTGGGAAGGTCTACTCATAGTAGAGCAGGGAGGCTGTACTTAGGAAGGCTCTTCGCCTCCAGGAAAGATGGAGGGAACGGGCCTGGTCCCAGCACCTCTGGGTTACTCCTGGTTCTGGGGTGGAGTGTCACCTGGCCCCTGCTCTTAGGCTATAGCTCTCAGCCTTGCCTGCCCTACTCTGATAGGCCATGGGCTGGGGCCTCTCTCAGAGTCTCAGCCTAGTCCCCCCGCCTACTGCCAGGCTCCCAGCCCTCTTCCCCCTCCACTGGCTTTTCACGGCCATCAGAGACTCTGCTCGCTGTGGCTGGCAGAGTATGGAATTCTAGGCCTGGCCACTGGGCACCTGCATGGCCCTGGCCAGGTCATAGCCCCTCTCAGCCTCAGCTGCAACCTCTGTAAAATGATTGTTTGGGGGAGGAGCGCAGACTCTCTGTGGGACTCTTGGGAGTTCTTTGGTGAGGATCCCCTATGGGGTGGCGGGTGGGACAGCACCGGGGATCAGAACACCAGGCTGGGCCTTTGCCTCTGCCTTGCAGCGGGTCCCTAGAAAGTCATGGTTCCCCTGTGGGTCTCTGTCCCCAGCCACTGACCCTGGAGACCTCTTCCATGGGAGTAGGGTGGGGTGGGCCAGGGGGTGACCCTCTAGTCAGGAGTCTCATGTCCGAGGCAAGGGAAGGTCTTAAGTGCAGGGGCTGCGCGGCTTGAGGTTTGGGGAGAGGAAGCCATCCGTATCACTGTCTCTGTTAGTGCTGGGATAGTTGCTGCCTCCTTTGTGAACTTGGATCGCTGTGATTGTGAATAAAGGTGATTTCGTACCAGCCTGAGGGCTGTGCTGTGCTGTGTGGAGGGTTGGGGAGGGAGGGAGGGTCGGGTGGGGGTGAACGGCCAGGTGTCCTGGATATGGAGGGGAGTCAGCAATGGGGGAAGACTCCCTGGAATGGGGGACTGTCCCAGGTCTTGGACATTAGGGGCTAGAAGGCCAGATGAGCCTTGTAAGTCAAAAGGGAGAAGCCACTGCCCTTTGGTGGCCTCAGATGCTAGGATCCTTGAGGAGCTGTGTTTACTGGGGCAGGAGCAGTGAGAGTCCACAGGCCTGCTCAGCTCTGTGTTAAGGCTGAGGTGGGCTCAAACCTGGCCCCAGACCCTCGTGGGGTGACACTGCCATCTAGAGGCTAATGGGAAGATGACAGATCCATCACACAGGTCAGGAGGGGCCAATATAGGTGACAGCTGGATAAGAAAGGGAGGCCCCTGGCCAGGGACCTTTAGAGAAACCTAGATTGCTCAGTATATCAGTTTGGCTGTAGGAACTGGGAGTGGTGGAGCGGGTCTGGGGTCTGGGGACAACGTGGGCCTCATGCTCATTTGGTGGGGCTGGGACTCCAGCACAGAGCACGCCTGCCTTCCTGCCCCCTCTCCTGGGATGATGATGCTCCAGTCCCTGCGCCTGGACAGCCCAGCCCTGTGTGCAGATGGAGTCCAGCAAAAGCAATGGAGGATCAGGGGTTCTGAGCTGAGGGGCCAGCTAGGCCTGCTGGATGTGGGTCTTTTGCCCCAAGGTCTGCATCTCTCTTCTCTCAAAGCCTTAGCCACTGCCCAGAAAGCTTCCTGAAGCAGGGGAAGGCGGGGGAGTGGGGGAAGGGAGGAGGAACTTGAGCGTGGCTCTCCGCAACAAAAGTGGCCACTTACCTGCCTCCCCTGCCCCCTACACCTCCCCACCCCCTCACCCCCCCTCCAGCCTGGCATCCTCAGAGGGCCAGAATGCTGTGTTCTAGATAATGTGGCTTTTGCCATTCAGCTGGATGGCTTTTCTGATGGCAGGGAGAATTAAGAGGGGATTCTGTTCAGTTAAAAAGGCCAAAAACTTTATTTAGTTTTCAGGGAAATACAAGATGTAAACATAAACAAAATACAAAACAAAACAACCCAAATCTTACAGTCTAGAAGCATGCCAAGACAGTATTTTCTGCAGACCAAAGAGTCCCGTCAGCATGATATAGGACACCTGGAAAGTGGCAGGCCAAGGGGTTGGGTCCCTTCCCCAAGGACACTGCATTTTTGTGATGAGGAAAAAAAAAACTATTAAAAATATTAGAAACATGGAGATAGTTTAGCACCACCATGGATCCTGGAAATTTTTTAGCACTCAAATTGACTGCACTGAGTTCAATGTCCTTTCCTTCGGTTTCTCTGCTAAGGGCAGAAGAGAACACAACCCCCTGCTGACCCCACGGAGCCTGCTAGGAGCTGGGAGGGATTAAGTGGACACCATGAAGAGCCCCCCAAAGTTCTGGAGCCCCAGAGACATCCAGCAGTTCACATGCAACCATGCAGTCCACAAACCACACTTTAGGGACCTGCCACTCACATCTTCATTCAGAAGTCACCTCCCTGAAGGCCTCTCAGGAATTGTCAGTGAAACCCTCTTTCTATCCTATGTCCTGGTAAAAAAAAAAACCCCAAAAAACAAAACAAAACCCCCAAAACCTGTTGTAGAGAACAAGTTGCAGATCTGAGAAAGGTGGCTCTGTTGACCCTTCTTTTTCTGAAGTAGGTGCTTATGGAAAGGTGCCTTGGTGCCAGGCCACCGAAAATGAAGGGCATGTCTGTGGAGGAGTGTGCACGGCACCTTGTCTTCTGAGTCACACCTGCATGGTGTGACTCAGCAGACCGAGCAGCCACGGCTATCAGTGGAGATTCTCACGAATACTGGTGTCAACAGAAGAAAAGATGAGGCTGCCTTCCTCCCAGACATGCGTGGTGGTATCTGGACCCTGAGCTTCCAGTTGGGGGGGGGGTCATTACTATAAAATCCATTATGCTCACTGGTCTCTAATCGATTCGAGCAATTTGAGAGGCTAGCTCTGGGTTGGACAAAGGGATGTGGGCAAAACCTGCTGGGAACCTAGGGGATGGAAGAATGTTCTGGAGTGAGAGCCTCCAAACTCAAAGATGGCTTTGTTGCTAGCAACTTCCTGTCCCCACTAAGCAAATCAAGGACTGTTCATTAGCAATATCCTAAGGACCCAGGTTGTGGCCCAGCAGGTAGCTGTTTCCTCGGGTCAGCCGCTTCTGTGGCCAAATCTTAGGGCTTTTCCAACCTGTTCTGGCTGGACCCTTGGGTGTTGAAACAGTAAATTCCTTCTGTACCGGTTCTCTTTCCCCTGAAACACTCAGTATTGACTTCTTCCTTCTTTTGAATAAAGACTAAACTCCAGCCTCCAAACCCTCTCAGCCTTCTCACACTTTTCCCTTTCTGCCTAGAAGACATCCTCTTCTGGAAGCCGCCTTCCCAGGGAAGGGACAGTACACCCAGCTGCTCCAAACATGCACACACGCATCACGCCAACGTGCCTCTTGCTTGCCTCCAACATGCTCGAGCCGCCCTTCTGCTTTAAAACAATTCTCTCACATGCGCTCTCTCCCTCCTTTCACCTCCTGAGGCCCAGCCCTTAGCCAGGGTGGTACTGGGAACCAAAGGAGGAACCTTCATCTCCAAAACCCATTCTCTAAGGCCACTAAGTTCTAGGACTGGGATGGGAAAGGGGGCTGATTGTCAAGTGCAAACCCAAGATTCAAAAGTTTGGATTGGGGAAAGGAGATTGCATGGTAACCCTAACCTAATAGGAGGTTGGGATCACAGCCTTAGAAAGTAGAGCCCTCTACTTGGTCTGGGAGCACCAGTGAGCCCAACTTCTGGCTGCGGATCTAGGCGCACAGGACAAAGTTAGAGGGAGGCTGTTCTTCCTGAAACAAGGCTGCAACCTCATCCTGTCACTGTCTCTGGTCACAGAACTTGAGAACCACTGAGGCCACCTCAAATAGGGATCACGATTTAGGCAAAGACCTCAGTTAGGTCAAGGCCCCCCTACGCTCCCCACTGTTCCTGTGACATGCCCAGTTGGGGCCTGCAGTCTGGTGTGCATGCACATGTGGGTCTACCGACCTGTGAGCAGCAGGCTTCCCCACCCCAAGCAGCATGACCACCCTCAGAAACACAAGAACTGAGGGCTAGTGGCTCTTACTACCTGGGGACTCCCGCAGTGATAACACGCATGGCAGCGGGCAGGGTCGGCCTGCCGGACAGCACATCTGTAGGTGGTGACCCAGTCCAACCGCATCTTCATTTTGGAGCCCGGGATGATGGCCTAGGCTGCTTCTGCTAGATCTGTTAATGCCAGTGTGAAGTTTCCAACAAAATAATAAAATAATTACAAAAAAAAAAAAAAAGACACATTGCACTCTCCAGCCAGAATTACGTGTGAGCAACACACACTTGCTGCCAGAAGCTGCGAGTCTCATGGGACCTGCCCAATGCCAAGGACTTGTAAAATGGAGACAGCTTGCCCGGTGTTTATTCTCTAACCCCGTGCTATTTAGTTCAAGTGGGAAATTACCAACACACACACACACACACACACACACACACACACACACACACACTCACTCTCAACACACAGCCCTCAAAAAAAATGAGGGAATCTTAATTCTTCAGCAATGTGGATGATTCTCTTTCCAGAGAGCTCTGTATCGAGATTCTCAAAGATTGGACACATAGATGTATACACTCCAAGGAGAGACACCCACACACGGGGGCACAGTCCCACTTGGGGCACACAGATCCATATTTGTACAGAAATTCAGCAAACGGAGGGGTTGGAGCAGCAAGCATACAGTACTGGAGATGGAGAGGACAAGCCTGCGAGGACGTCCCTGGAGCCCCGAAGGGCAGAGCTCCAAGGGCTTGGACCCAGAGACTTCCCATCCTGCTGCTTTCTCGACCAGTGCCAGGTGAGGAGGCCAGCTCAGTTACCCACTGTGGGAAGCTGTCTACAGAGACCTGAGTAGGCCCCTTAGATGCTTCTCTCAGGCCCTCTGGGAACTGTCAGGTGTTAATTAAGCAAGAGGCAGGGCTCACTCCTCAGGCTGAAGTCATTGAGATGAATGGGTGGCCCAAGCTTAGCACCAGGCCTAGCTGCAGGCTTGTGGGAACTGGTGTCTCACTGGGTATGTAGGGCTCAAGGCACCCACATATCCCTGAAAAAGGATTTGGTTACATTAAGGGTTCCTGCCCATAAACTGAACTGAGGTTACATAGTTTTAGAAAGATTCAAACACACATCAAAAGGATCATGGCCCAAACATCAGGAGACTGGGGTGAGAGAAGGCTGCTGGGAGTGACTTTTTGAGACCGGCCTTTCTGGGCAGCTGGCTGAAAAACAATGGAAATGAAAACAAGGAACCGTTCCTGGATGTCCTTGCTCTGCTCCGAGGGCTGGGGCCCCGGGAGGTCAAGAGCCCCATGCCTCATCCCTGAATCCCTCCTGGGCGGAGGACACCCAACAGAAGAAGGGGCTGCCCTCTGGGAGGGAGCCCTGCCACCTTGCTGGGGGGGGGGGAGCAAAAGATCAATATCCAGAAGGTCACCTGTCTGCTCCACAGCTATGGCTCCCTTCCAGCAGCCCTGCCTCCTCCCACTGACACACCGGGCCACCAGGCCTCCCGCCACTGTCCCAACAGGCCCTGGCAGCCCTCGATAATATTGCACTTTTCCTGTCTCTCAGATTGTTTTCATTTTCGATTGAGAATGCAAAGTATTGGGAGGGGAAGGGGAAGTGAGTAACCTTAAAGAAATAATATATTAGTTAAATACAAAAAAAAAACCAAAACAGGAAAAATAGGGGCTTTTTTTTCCCCCTAAAATAAACTACCAAACCAATGTCTAAACTTAAATAGTTCTACGCCTACTCTGCAAATACTAGTAATATGAAAATAATGCTCAACCGAAATTCCCTTGTCTCTTTTCCTTAGACGATAAAA